GAGGAAAGGAAAGGAGATGAATGGATAAGAAAGGGAGGGGAAGGAGGAAGCACGCAAGTAGAAGGGAAGGAAAGGGAGAGAAGAAGAAGGAAAGGAGATGAAGGGATAAGAAAGAGAGGGGAAGGAGGGATTCAGGAAAGGGAGGGAAAGGAAAGGGATTACAAGGAATGTCTTCATTTAAGCCGTTTTCACCTGGGCTGTGTCCCCTGCACGATTCTCAAGGCTGCAGCTCTGCTTTCCCTGTGTCTAAATTCACACGATTTGGGGGGGGGTCTCATCCCTGCCAGGATTCCAGAGCCCAGAGTGCACCTGCAAGGCCCTCCCAATCCTTCAAGGGAACAAATCCTTCCGGAAGAGCCGCAGAGCCCTCACCTCTCCCACCTTCTTCCAGTGGGCCGGTCTGGGGAAGGAGAAGGGCCAAGGAGGGGCAGAGGCGCCCCAGAAGCAGCGGCAGCAACCCTTGGATCAGGTGAGACCCCCCTTCCCCCGGCCAGTGGTCTTTAAGCAAGCCAAGGTTGCAAGGGGTGGCAGGAGGAGGGTGAGATTCGGAGCCTCCCTCCCCCTTTCGGTTCTGGGATGAGCGAAGCTTCAGCTGAGTGCTGGAGGGCCCGGTGGTTAAAGCGCCATACTGGAAGTCCTCCAGTTATGACCGCAACAACTGACCCCAAAATTTCCATCGCTAAGCGAGAGGATAGTTGAGTTTTGCAACACCCTCAGGGCTGGGAGTGGGGTTGGTGGAGGAGGAGGAGGACTGTGGGGCCCTGGGTGCTCTCTGAGCTGGGTGGTTTTCTTGCAGGTGTTTCATTGCCCAACTAGGTAACATCATCAGTGCTAGAAGGGAGTGGAGCTTGCGGAGAGGAGGAAAAGGAAGAGGGGAAGAAGAAAGGAGAAGGAAGAGAAGACGGCAGGAGAAGGAAGAGGGAAAGAAGTAGAAAGGAAGAAGAGAAGACAGGAGGAGGAGGAGAGAAGGAAGAGGGGGAAGTAGAAAGGAGGAAGAGAAGAGGAGGAGGAGAGGAGAAGGAAGAGGGGAGGAAGTAGAAAGGAGGAAGAGCAGAAAACAGGAGGAGGAGGCGGAGGAGGAGAGAAAGAGAAGTAGAGAGGAGGAAGAGAAAACAGGAAGAGGAGAGGAGAAGGAAGAGGGGAAGAAGTAGAGAGGAGGAGGAGGAGGAGGAAGAGAAGAAGACAGGAGGAGGAGAGAAGGAAGAGGGGAAGTAGAGAGGAAGAGAAAACAGGAGGATGACTACAGGGTCTTCGTTGATCCCTGAGCCTGGTGGTTTTCTTGCAGACGTTTCATGACCCAACTAGGTAACATCATCAGTGTTAGGAGTGGGGTGGGTGGAGGAGAGAAGGCCTGAGGGGGTCCCTGGTGCTCTCTGCGCTTGGTGGTTTTCTTGCAGACGTTTCCTTGCCGGCACTGACATTTGAAGTGAAACGTTAAGGACCGAGTTTCTCGAAGCCATGGCTTCCCGCATGCTTACTTTGTTGTTTGGCTCCTTTGGTTTCCACGAAAGCCTTGACACCGTGTCTCCGCAGGAACTTGGTTTAAAGAAAGCCATCAAGAAACTGGACCGCCACGTCAAAACCCTCTACGAACAGGTCCCAGAGAATACACTTTGCCTCGTTCTGTTACCAGGCGCCAAGAGGTGAAAAAAAACAAACCTTTATTATTTCTCTTTTCTGTTTCCGCAAAGAAGGGCTTTATTTCGCCTTGGATTCTCAGTCTGAGATCTCTCCTTTCTTGGTCTGATGCTTACAGAACCGATGTTTGTTTGTTTCAATTACTTTCCCGATTTAGATAGCTTGGCTACAATCCAGCAAAGTTAGAGACACAAAATAAATAAAACACCAAATAAATGGTTTTGTTGGTGGATCAAGTGCAGATAATTCTCAACCATAACTGGGGCCCCAATTTCCGTCGCCAAACAAGACAGTTGTTAAGTGAGTTTGGCCTCCCTTTTACGACCCTTCTTGGCACCGTTGTTAAGCGAATCACTGCAGTTGTCCCTCCCAACGCTGTTGATCTGTATCTGGAACTGGACTTTCTGGTTTTTCTTTGAAGAGGTTTCGCTTTCATCCGAGAAGCTTCTTCAGCTTCTTGGAGACGTTTCGCTTCTCATCCAAGAAGCTTCTTCAAGAAGCTGAAGAAGCTTCTTGGATGAGAAGCGAAACGTCTTCAAAGAAAAAAAACAAACCAGAAAGTCCAGCTGCCTCTTGAAAACAAAGCACCTTTGGGACACCCAGATTAATGGTTTCGCAGCTTCGGAAGAGCAGAGAGGCGGTTTGGATGCAGGAATCTTTTGAATGTATGGAAGCTGAGTTGCTGAGGCTCTTTTCCCTCCATTCAACACTCTATTCATCGGCTCAGGGGGAACAGGAGAAAGAAAAGAGACGCCATTGTGGGTCTCAGCAGGATTGTTTTGGGTTGTTGTTTTTTTTTATGGTAAAGGTTCCCCTTGCACCTACGTGCTAGTGGTTTCTGGCTCTAGGGGGCGCTGCTCATCTCCATTGCAAAACCGAAGAGCCAGCGCTGTCCGAAGACGCCTCCGTGGTCATGTGGCCAGCAGGACTAAACACCGAAGGCCCATGGAACGCTGTTCCCTTCCCACCAAAGGGGTGCCTATTTTTCTATTTGCATTTTTTTTTTTTACATGCTTTCAAACTGCTACATTGGCATTAGCTGGGACAAGTCACGGGAGCTCACTCCGTTATGCAGCGCTGGGTGTTCGAACCGTCAAACTGCCGACCTTTCTGATCAACAAGCTCAGCGTCTTAGCCACTGAGCCACCGCGTCCCAATAATAGATAACAAAATAGATAACCATGATAACAAAATAGATAATAATAATAATAGATAACAAAGTAGATAACAATAATAGATAACAATAATAGATAAAATAGATAACAATAATAGATAACAATAAATAATAGATAACAATAATAGATAATAGATAACAATAATAGATCATAATAGATAACTAGGTACCTGAGTATCATACAGAACCTGGTTTGATTTTCATACCCTTGAAAGTTCCACAAACCAGCACCTAATTCCAGGGATGGAAAGTGTCTTAGCCCCTGAGCCACCGCGTCCCTTATGTCATTGTTTTATTTATTTATTTATGCCTGGCCTTTATTTCCCAAGACAGCTCCAGTGCCTTTGCAATTTCTCACGCTAAGCCCTAAGAAGAAGAGTTTGTGGCTTGGCACTGTCCATTGTGGCTTACTCCACCAACCGTCGTGTGGCAACGATGGCATATTGCATTGCCGGGAGTCCTCGAACTAACGACCGCAACGAAGCCCCAAATTTAGGTCGCTAAAGGAAGAAATTTAATTTTTGCTCTTTTCTGGCCACGTTTTGTCAAGTGGAATCCCCTCCCTTGTTAAATCAATAACATGGTTGTTAAGCGAATCTGGCTTCCTCTTGGGACGTTTGCCTGCCAGAAGGTCACAAAAGGGGATCGTGCGGCCTTAGGGACGCTTCAGCTGTCATAAATCTGAGTCCGTCGCCGACCAGCTGGATCTTGATCACGACGGTGGGAATGCTGCGACGGTTGTTAAGTGTGAAAAACAGTCGTGGCTTGTTCCAGTGCCATTCTGACTTTGAATGGACACTGAATAAACTGTTGTAAGTCGAGGACCACCTGCAATTCAAGCTGACCTGCTCAGGTTGGGATTTTTCTGTTCCTGCAGTTCACTTCATCCGAGTGTTTTAACAATAAGCAGCCACCACGTTCTCTGAGGAAACCAAACACACATTTTCCTCACGTTTTCTCACTTACCTTGCAGGTTCTCCGACTCTCTTAGCGGCCTCAGCCTTGTGGGAATCAAAGGCGAAAGGAGCATTTCCACGTCCTGCTAAAAACCCTCAAGGACTCCCCCTGGTTATTATTATTATACTTCCTTTTTTTTTGGCGGGAAAAACAGCCCCCTCTTGCTCGCGCAACCTCAATGCTTCCAAGCTTTGCCAAGCAATTTTGTTTTGTTTTTTTAAAGAATTCAATGATTATTATTTTTTTCCAAGGCATCCGACCATCTCAAGAATTCGATTCCATTGTTAATGCAGGAGACCTTTTATTTTTTTTTATTTTTTTTAAAGGCTCCCTGCAGACTGCCAGATGTTGGGGGGACTTTCTGGAGGGAGGGGTGGGAGCAACAGCAGAAAAAGATGGTAGTTGGCACCGAATTCAGCTTCTCAGCCTGGCGCTTGAAAAGTTTCCGTGCCGTTTCTGGACAGCAACATTTTCCAAGGCTTGGCTTTCGATTTTAATTGTTATTTTGAAAAAAGAGAGAGAGGACGGAACGGTTCAGCGCCTGTGAAATTTATTCCCTCTACAGGCAGCCCTTGACTTACGACCACCACTCTTGAGCTTCAGAATTCCTGTTGCTAAGCGAGACGGTTCTGGAGTTTTGCTCCGTTTTTTTTTTTGCAGCCTTTCTTGCCGCTGTGGTTCAGTGAATCAGTCGTAAAGTGAGCCACGCAGCTGTGAGGCGAATCCGGGTTTTCCCACTGACTTTGCTCATCAGCAAGTCGTAAAAAGGGGACTG